TCAATAGATGTTGATTGAGAAACCTATGAAAAAAAAAATAAAAAAAAATGGAACAATTGTTGATTGTGATTTGGGGGAAAAAAGATTGGCTTTTTAACGATGATAAACCTGCAGAAAAGCCTTATTGAAAGATAATTGTAAATTGATTAAATTTTCATTTATTTTCCCAAAGTGTATAATATAAGGTTTGTGATTTTAGTTTATTGATTGTAAATTTCCTGGGGAAAATTGCTTGATTATCAAGATGTACACTTACTTGTATCATACATTATGAATTTGATGTTAGAAAATTGAAATCTTGTCATTTGAGTTCAATCATTGGCACTTAACTTGCTCTCCTTGTGTGATAAACACAAAGGAACATATTTCACATGTGCCACTCTGTCAAGAATTGATTTCTTTATTAACGAGTAATGCTCCTCTACTCACGGTGGGCACATGTTAATATGTCCACTGCTTATGTGGCATGCACACGTTGGTGATGTTAATATGTTCAAAAAATACATCACCAATGTGTGCATTTCATATAAGCGGTGGACATATTAACATGTGCCCACCGTGGGTATGCGAGCATTACTGCTTTATTAACTACTATCACTGTAAAGGTTAATTCATATGAGTTTGTCCTTTTCACAACATGACTGTTGGCTTGTAAAGTATGAAATTTGTTATGCAGGTGTTCAATATCACTAATTAACTCAATTTGGACTCTTTTATCTGAAGCTGGGAATCCAAAATCCAATATGTGTATGTGAGTGCAGTTGTAATGAAAATTGATGTGTTCATTTTATTGTGACACCACAACAAAATTCATATCAGCATCGCTGTTAGATAGGTCTAATAGTTAGACAACGAACCATTTTCAATTAATATCTTACTTTCAAATTGAAATGCGACACTATAAAATAAACATAAATAAAAGTATGTCATTTCATAAGTGTATATTTATATATATACTTAAGTTGAATATCAAAGGGTCGAATAAATGAGACAAAATTCTCGGTGCGTTGAATAATCGTTGAATTTTTCATCCCAGCACAAAACCGTGTTTTTCGGGGAAGTTTCAAGATCACCAAACAGGCCACTGTGGTTCTTTGTGTCCCATGAAGACCATGGGATTGAATGAACAAGGCAGGGTCATTTTTGTCAGAGAAAATACTCCACCTGGGCAATAGCAAATATTCTGGAATAGTGACTCCATAAACACCTTGCTTAGAATAATAAACAAACACCCTGCTTGTAAAAGTTTTCATCTTCAACGTATAAACTACTAAACTTATCGGTTAATTAGTCTTCAGTGATTTAAAGCTTTATGCTGCACTTTGTTCAAATTATTTGTATTAGACAAGCAATGTTGTATATTTTAACAGCAAAACTATTGTATGACGAGTATAGGTCTTCTCATAAGAGAATTAATTTGTGTGATAAGCATGATATGATATATTTGATAGCATAACTCACCACGCAAAAATGCCACCACCGAGTATGTATGACAAAGATGGAGCCACATAAACTGTAAACCCGAATATGTCGATCTAAGAAAAAAAGGCTAAAAATAGTTGCAAATCATATCAAACGAGTTTCAATTTAGCACAAGTTCCATACTTCATACGAATACAGATGAGCAACCATAGCAAAATACGATCGAGTTTCTTGATAAATCAGGTGAGTGAATCCCTCTCCTTTTGTTGCTAATAAAGTTCTTCTCTCATTAGCCTCCTTCTCCATTTTCTCCTGCAGGTTACAACACACTCACATGAGTCAGGACGGACGAAAATAAGTTAATATAATTATAAAACACATCCGTGATGTTCTGTCTAAATTACCAAAAAACCACACGTCTTTCCCAAATTTTAGATAACCCCTTACAATATTTCTTTTTCTGTCAAATAGTATCCATCAAGAGAAGGGCGTGCCTTAAGCAAATACATAAGGTCAAAACTCAAGCAGCATTCATGCTATTTTAAGATGTTGCAATCAGGCGAACCGAGGTGTATTTTTTTTTTTTTTTTTGGTTACAGTAGGCCACCACCAGTGCACAACCAAGAAGTAGACTCAAATTCAACCAACAGAACAACAAATATGAGTGCTTGCAATAAGCAAAAAACGAGCTGACCATGATTAGAAGTTTCATAGTTTTCATTCCAAGACCCAAATTTTATAAAAGTGTTTCATAATTCCCATCACAAGTTCGGGACTTTGTCAAAAAGTTTGATAATTCCCGTCGCAAGATTGAAACTTTATCAAAAAGTGCCATAACTCTCATCCCAAAATCAAAACTTTTACGCTTTTAAATTCGTTACACCAGGTAAGCCATAGCATTCCCTCTTTAGAGACCTTCAAAAACACCATTCCAAATATAACGAAACTCAATGAAGTTGACTCCTCCGAGTCCTTCCTAACAAAAATTCGAAAAATATCAAAAAGATAACAGAGCAAAATCTATTAATTCATTCTTCTCAAATGTTTAATGAGCTGGTGAACTGGTACTAACCTGAAAACCAGAAGCTCATTACACACTAATAGTCTTGATACAACCATATCAATCAAATATTCAAATGAAAAAATAAAAATCTAGTATAAAATCCAATGTATAGTCGAAAAACAATCAAAGGCAGGAAGAGCTAAACTGGATGCAATTATGGAAAAACCTTACGCAAGGCTTGAGGACCTTAAGGAGGCAAATAACTTAACAAACTCAAACACATGGTTTCATATAATTGGCAGATTCGAGGAACTTCGAGCCACAATGTCCGCGGGTGGCGACTTTAACATGCTCACAACAAGAACTTAACAAACTCAAAACACATGGGGTCATATAATTGGCAGATTTGAGAAGCTTAGAACCCGCATGATGGTGATTTATCTGACCAAACATATAGTTCTAAAAGAAAAACTTTTGTAAAATGTCCACGGTGGAAGCACTAATCTCCCCTTGTTTCATTCATTTCAACAAACAACATTCAGTCCGACATTCCACAAAATAAGATTAGCACAATCATCATTGCTCTCATGCTTAGGTTGGTCAAGCCAAAAATCTCGGATTTTCTAGGTCCTCCATCAATCAATAACAAATAGCAAACAAATAGCGAATAGCAAAAATATAAAATTATTCAGTAATTACCTCTACTCCTCGGGAAAACCTAGAAAACTCTCAAGGTTGTACCAACCTTGAAAGCACCTGTCGCGGTTGGCATCGGCGGGGATCGATATATGGGGATCGTTGTAGAACCAATATATTAATCGAAGGCGACTCCGAAAGGCGGGCACATCGAGGCGCATCATATCACGCAATTCAACAATATTACGTGGGACGAGCCCCGCAGGGGGGTTATCACCCACTTGATAACTCCCATCCAAGTTGGTCCCTTGAACGTCCGGAGGGTTCTTCCATGGATGATCGGGGAGCTGTTTCGGAAGGACTTCGAAAGCCACATCAGGTTCGTTGAATGTTATTGACTTGTTTATGTGTCTTGCAGAAGCCACCTTGATGGTTGCATCCAACCTCAGGTTCGTTTGATTTAGCGACAATTGATGCTGAACTAGACCCTCCTGAAGCTTAACCATACCCTCCTGAAGCTTAACCTGACCTTCTTGGAGATTTTGAAGTATAGAAAGGATTTGGGGGTGGACTGGAGTCATCCCCTCGTATGCTCTCCTCTCCTGGGAGCAATTTTGTAGCAAAGCAAACAAGAAACACAGACATGGGAGCAAAACTAATCAATAAATCAGTTCAGCCATCTTCGTTTTCAGAATTCACAGTTCAAATAAACTAAAAAATAATCAATAATATCAATTCAATAAATCAGAAATCACAATTCATTTACAGAATTCAAGTACAATCACCATTAACACCGGAATGGAAGCTTTCTAACCTGGCCGTTGCCGCTCGCCGTCTCCGCTCCTTGCCGATCGCCGTCGCTGCTCCAAGGTCGCCGCACACCGGTAGAGAAGTGAATAAAATCGTTTTTTTTTTCTGTATTATTATTGTTTTAATAAAATTGACGGGCTGGCCAAAATCCGCAAAAAAATAAAATAAAATAAAAAAATTCCCATAAAAAATATACTAGCCATAAATAAAGAATTCTAAAAATTCTAGGATTTTAACTTATCAAGAAAGACAAATATAAAAAAGAATTTCAGAAGTTAAAAATTGATTTTTTTTTTTTCCTTATCTCTTTGATTTCTTTCCACATATTTTCTCTTTTATTTTTTTCTCCGTTTCTTTTTTTTTGGTATAGGAAAAGAAGCAATACTACTACCGTTTTATCACGACCCGACGAGGATGACACACCCCCGCGACATCGTGAGTTAACCATAAGCCCGCCCCATCCGTAGGACGATCAAACCGGTGCAAATCACCGAGTCCTTGAGTCGCCAAAGAGGCTAAAAAATCCGCCACGAAATTGGTCTCACAATACACATGAATAAGTTCCTTTTTCTTTTAATTTGAATGCATAAGATATAACACCAAAAAATAAAAACAAAAATAAAATAATAATTAATAATAATAATAATAATAATTAAAAACAAAAATCTTATCCCCACGAAATCATGTTTTTCTTAATATACATCTATAAAAGCAACCAAGAATGCACAATTAATTATAATCAATTCTACCATGTCTTTCTCATCCTCATAATCTCAACATAATTTCATTTATCTCACTCAACAATACAAAAATTTGAAAAAAAATAAATAAATAAAAAATCCCCCTCCATTGCCAAATACTAAACAGTAGTAATTACATGATATATGATACATTATAAACAATTCATCTGTACTACAGACCTTATCACCCCCCATCACCCACAAAATACATATATAGTTCCTTGGAAAAAAAAAAAAATCATGAAAAAATCATACCCGCGGCACGTATGATCATCGTTGACTCGGCCTATTATCCTGAAACGGGCTCGTCTTCGTAAACGAACGGGCTTTAAACCCGACCGTTGAGGGCCTTTTCGACCTCTGCCTCACCATGTTATTGCAGTACTCCGAGTCGTCCAACTGACCCTCGTGCCTTATCCACTGTATTATGCCATGGTACATTGGGAAAAACCTCATTTGCACCGAGTTATACACGAAATACGGCACGAGAGCCGAAATCACCACAAGAAAAGTCACCACATAGAATGAAGGTGCCGGAGCAAGTGACTCGACAAGAACTGCATGAGCAGTGGTGGAGATTCTATATGGCATGGCCCCGTATATTAAAAGAAAAATATACCAAAGGATAATCCCACCCCAGATGACTATGTGTTGGATTAAAGTGAAGTAGCTTATGGCAAGCGCCATCTGGCAGTTGACGACCCAGACGAGACACGTGTACATTGTGGCCCCAAGAATCTGGTATTCCGGAACTTTCCCAGCTCGGTTGAATGCGTGCAGGCCTAAGGCTTGCACGCAGAAGAAGAAGATTATGAGTGCGCTCATAATGCCATTGAGTATCCACCCGATTATTCGGCTCCAGCTGAAGAGCATGTTTCGCACGCCTTCTTGGTACAACATAGGGAACTGTGCCACGTTGGACAAGATGTACAATTAAAGGTTGTACCTTGAGACAGAATTAAGTGGAAAAAAGAGAGAGATTAGATAAAGGTTGTACCTTTAGACAGAATCTAGCAGATACATCTTGGTCGAAAACTCCCATGGCAATCACGGGTAGTGACGTGAAGAATATATTGTAAAGGGATAAGAACCAGTCATTATAAGCGGGCTGTCCGGAGAATGATGTGTGAGCCTCGTACAAGAAGACGGTGAAACCGAAAGTGATATTCTTGTAGAAAAAATAGCAAATCTGCACCAAAAAAGTGTACGAATTAAGTCGAATGTATTTAAGTTTTTCTATATATACATATATGAAGATACAAAATGAATAAATTAAAAAATCTTGTACACAATCTGTACCATTGACGAGATCCTTCTGTAACACCAATGCCCGTGCACCAAAAGTAAACGTTCCAAAAATCTGAACTGAGCAATCGCAATATCACTTGACATGACAGCCTGACAAATAAAATGCTAAATATGAGTCTAATAAGTGTTGTTCAATCGGTTTTAGATATATATTTTTCGAAAATAAAACATGAAGAGAAACCATATGAATTTTTTTTCTCTACCTGCATTCCTTCAACGCCACTAATTCCAATTCCAATATCTGCTTCTTGAAGCATGCCCACGTCATTGGCTCCATCGCCAATTGCAAGAGTCGTCCTCTTTGTTCCTTCTTTGACGAGCCTCGTTACCTGTATGGTTAAAAGCAATTTACTTACTATTAGAAACAAAAAATAATAATAAAAATCTATAACCAAATGGAAAACCGGAGAGCAGACAAACCAGGGCCTTCTGCTTTGGTGATGAACGGCAGCATATTACAGATGCACAGCTAGTTGCAAGTTCAAGAAAGGTTTTTTTCGAGTCGTCGTGTAATGCATATACAAGGGATTTCCCATCAATGATTAATGCAAAAGCATCGGAACTTAATTTAGCTACTTGATCCTTCCCGTCATTTATCTGCCGGACAACACTTCGCTTCGAGGCCTAATTACATTAAAAAAAAAATCAACCAATCTCAGTAATGCAGCTAGCTCAAAGAAAAAACAAAGTGATTAGCACACAAAACTCATTTTTTTTTTATTTTTTTTTTGGGAATTTCATAAGTTTCCTGAAAAGGCATTTGTAACTACTATGAAGTTTGTTATCAACATTCTTATCCTTAAATATTTATCACATCCATATCATCCAAATACGGTAGTTTTGAATATTTTCACACAAAAGGATCATTTACGAGCTGTTTTTTCTCTGGTAAAAGTCGAAGTGTTCGCAAACATACTGTTATATAGCGTTAACATTTTAATGCCAACCCCAACAAAATAAAACCAATGTGTTCTTTATCAAGGTATACAACCAAAGGCTAACGATGAACCCTTATTATTTGTTAAGCAATTATTATGATTCATTATTTGATTACAAGTAGTTTGCACTTTACCTTGACAATTGCATCCTTTTCTCCCATTTTCTCCAAAGCAATTATCTCTGGCATATCCAAGGTAATAATAATTTGTCTCATTTCTTGTCGGAGCAAACTACACGCATAGCTGCAGATTTCGATCCATACCAATCAGAAATTTCTTGGACATCCAATTTTGTGTCAGTTAAGTTGGAAAAATTTTTGTGCTGAGGATATATACCCAATATTAATAGCTGTTTCCATTTTATCCCCAGTCAAAACCCATATCTTAATTCCTGCTTGAGCCAGCTTGTCAATGCATTCAGGTACCTGTCAAAAACAATAATTTTCTTTGAGTATTTGCAAAAATTCACATAAGAGATTAGTGCGTGAAACACCTGCATGATTCATTCTTTCTTGTTACTTTCAGTTAACTAACTCACCCCGTGTTGGAGTTTGTCCTCGACAGCTGTTGCACCTAGCAGAATCAAATTTTTCTCGATTCCTTCAGTCACATCATCAATCAGTGTCTCACGATCAGCACAGACCGAGTTTTTAGCCTCCAAGAACTTTTTATCAAATGTCTTATATTCTTCTTCACTAAGATCTCGATAAGCAAGTATTAACGTCCTCAAGCCCGCATTGGCGTACTCATGCATGTGTTCTCTCGTTTGCTCTTCAAATTCCCTTCCGTTTTTAGCAAGCCTCTCGAACATGACACTGTATACAGATTACAGACCAATAAAAAAGAAGACACGCTCATGAGGAAGTTGTATTAATTAATTATTCTTATCTAACAACAGATGAGAGTGTATAAAAGAAATAAATTATTTTACTCCGATAAAAACGAAGCGGATAGTTTTTAGATATGTAAACCTTAGATTAAATTATCCGATCTTCATAAATCACATTAAAGGAAAGCGAAGGAAGAACTATAATACTCAAATTCTTACAACGAATACCAATATTTTATAGTTTGCTTTTAATATATACCACCTGTCGGCACCCTTGCAAAGCAATAAGAGTCTCCCCTCCTCATCCCTTACTATAACTGACATTCTCTTTCTTGAACTGTTAAATTCCAAAACATTTAACAACTCAAACGACCTGCATTGCCAAAAAGATTCCTTTTAGAACACAATCAAATTCAATCTTTTTCTCGCCAACTACCGCAGCAAATCCGAAAAATATTACCTTTCAACTATTTTCCCAGAGATAGGATTCAACTCCTTCATGTAAACATTCTTTTGAGTTCTCTTAAAGAATTCGAACCCAAGCTCCCTGGCTGCAATAACAAAAGCAGCCTCATCTGGCGACTCAGCTTCATACGTCGTTTTCCCAGTATTCTCATCAACATCTGGTATTGCCGTGTGGCAAATGGCCAGCAGCCGGAAAAAACTCTGAACAACATCTGAACGGAGCTCGTTCACCCAATTCCCGTTTGCAATCCTCTCATCGTCAAAATTGAATCCTTTTACCGACGAGCTCCGTTTAGGACTGTCCACATCGTCGTTTCCATTTAAAGACGACCCTTTTCTTTTAGCCGTAGCCTTTTCAACCTCAGTCATGCCATGCCCGTAAGCCGTGCCACCCACCGAGCACTTAACAAACTCCATCGAGTTACAAGTCAAAGTCCCCGTTTTATCCGAGAGTATCGTGTCCACTTGCCCGAGCTCCTCGTTCAAATTCGACGTTCGTGCGCGGGCTGGCTTATCACCCTCCTCATAATACATGAAAACGTCACGATTGATAAAAATGCTCTGAAGGACCTTCACGATCTCTATCGACACGTAAAGAGAGATCGGGATCAAGTAGCCGTAAAGCAAGAGGGCCGTCAAAAAATGATACACGCCCGCAGCCGGGGCCCGTTTGGGGTCGAAAAAGATATTTGACTCGTCTGGCCTCAGGTACCACCTTCTATTCAAGTCGCGTTTAGTCACGACACCGAAATAAACAGACCCAATTAGGGCGATCGTGAAAAGGATGCCGAACAAGAGGTATACAATCTTATCCATTTTCCTCTCGATTTTGCTCCTCTTGGAAGGTGGGCTCGTCGAGTTCTGGATGACTTTCGTGTCGTGGCCCGTGAATATGACGAGGCCGAATACATGGTCCGTGTTTCGTAACTTGGAGTCTCGGAGGAGGAGGTTTTGAGGGGAAAGAGGGTACTGACAGCCTTCGTACTCCATGCTTCCTACGAAAGAGTATAAATTTGCGTTCGGGTTCTCGCATTTGACGAGGGCCCGGAAATCCTTGATGTCCTCCTGGTTTAAGGACGAGGTTGCCTCTAAGCCCTGTTTGAGTTTAAGGTTTGTTTCGCCGTCGAGGTTCATTGTCTCGACGTAGCAAACTGCGTCGTCATAACTGGAGGAGAGCAAGAGGAGATCAGCCGGAAAAAAATTGTCTTTTTCGATTTTCACAATGTGTCCCACTTTCAGGTTCTTCCATTCGGTTGGCCGGAAGTTTCCATTGCCCTCGTGTACCTTTACCTTCCGGTTGTTCACCTCAACATCCTGAACATTACAGGCAGGATATGAATATTGGCTGAATCAATAGAGGAAAGAAACACACACACACACACACTTGAAATTATGTAATCTATGATCCATCAGTAATGAAAATAAATAAATAAATAAAAAGACCAGCAAGACATGCAAATCTTAAAAAAAAATAAAGATGGATACTTTATTCTGGGTTGCCCAGATTTCAAAAAGCCAACAAACAGTGAGAATCTTACTGTTCACTACAATTAACTCCCCCACCAATATAATAATATCAAAAATGGAAAATTAATGCATCCATTCATTATCTTGAAGACACAAACAGTCAAAAAGGGGAAAACCAAAACATTGATTCACCTCCATGATTCAAGCAATTTTCTCTAGAAACTCTGAAACATTCCAAACCAAGCTAGGACCAAACTATGCACTCAATGAATTCAAGAATGCCAAACCACTTAAATACACACATACTTTCTCAATCTTCACCAAAACAAACTCAAGATCAAATGTAGGAAGAGTTTTTTCACCTGTTGTTTTCGCCGCCAATCCTCGATACCCTCTTTGGCCATAGTTGCACTAATAACTACAATCAAGGGAATAATAGCACTCACAGCTGAATAAGGGGCAAGTGGGGTGAATGAAAGAGTCCCAATCACTAGGAAGTAGAAATTAGCCACCCTCCTAAACTGCTCAAACAAGGACTTCGGCAAGAAAGTTGCGGCAGTATACTTAGTTGTCCTAACATAATTGGTCGAATAATTCCTGAGGCTTGCATCCAAGCCATCCGGCTCGTTGCAATAAACCTCTCTCGAATAACCCGGACCTCCGATTCGCGAGAGGTCATCCTTAGATGATCCTTTGCCACAACACTTGAATGAGTAGATTCTACTGAAATTAAATCTTTTGTTTCTACCGGTTCTCATTTTAGTAAAATGTCGTAAATATGAAAAAGGCAATGGAGGTTAAAAATCTTGCCTTTCTCCCCCCCTCGAATACCCAGAACACAGAATGAGAGCTTAGAACACAGAGGTTGAGTAATCAAGACATGGTCCTCAGACAAAGTAAACCCCAATAGAGATAGTTGTAAAACCTCCAACAACTCGAAAACCCAATTTGTCAGGATTATTATTATTACAAAATCAAAACCCAGCACATGATTTAAAACAAAAATTACTACAATAAGGCTAAAAAAATCAGCAACCCACGAGATGATCGACCTTGCAATCTCCAAAAGACTCCATCTTTTTGCAGTGGCTCTTGAGCCTGAGCTGAATATGATTAAGGCCAGTCAAATTTTCAGCTGAACCAAATCAAGAAATGAAAAAAACAAATCCCTAAATAGGCCCGCAAAATATTTATTCACAAGAAAATGTGCGCTGCAAAAACAGAACAAAGAGGGAGATGGGTGGGATATATGCTCACGATTTAGCCATGGCCTTTGATTTAAAAAGATGATAATAATAATGATGACAAAAAACAGAAAACCTTTGAGCATTGACTTGGATCTCTCTCTCTCTCTCTCTCTCTCTCTCTCTCTCTCTCTCTCTCTCTCTCTCTCTCTCTCTCTGTCTTAGCTCTCTTTTTCTCATTCCTTGACTTTCTCGACCCGTATGGTTTGGGTAAATTGGACACGCGCAATGCTCAAAAGAAAATTTCAAACCCAACTTCTATTTTGGACAACAGAAACAGATAATCCCAACAACTACACAAATAATGCTGCGTTTCGGCTATTATATTGTGCAAAAATTTCAGGCATGGAGAGTAGAAAGAGAGTGAAAACTGAGGAGACGATGGAAGAAATTGGGGGAAAAAAATGAAGAAATTAAAGAAAACAAAGAGATTGTGGGGCGGCTCCGATTCGCGGGAAGAAAAAATATTACTCTTCTCTCTCTCTCTCTCTCTCTCTCTCTCTCTCTCTCTCTCTCTCTCTTTTTCTAAGAGGTTTGTCCCTGTCAAAGAACATCTGTTTCGCATGAGGAGACGACAAAACGGAAGTGAATAATCCTGGTAAAAAGGGAAAATAAAAAATTACTAATGAAACGATTTTAAATTGTTTATTGGGGTAAAAAAGATGGAAAATGACATATATATATATAATTTTTAGGGAGGTGTTAGAGGAATCATTCCGTTAAAATTTGTAACCGATAGATCAATTATCTCTGACGGTTACATGATGATCTAACGGTTACAAACTCTGACGGAATGGTTCCGTAACGAAATCGTATAGCATGTTTGTTTATGAAAATTTTTGTTTTGTTTGGGATTTTTGGTTTGGTTTAGTTAATTTTGAAAAATGTGGTATGGTTAGTTGTTAGTGGGTATATTAAAATAATATTTAAAATAAAATAATTAAAATAATTTGATGTAAAAGTAGGAGAGAGATGGTTTGATGTGATAGTTAGTTAAAATAATGTGAGTGGATAAATAGTGAATTAAGGTTGATGTAGTGTGTATTAATGATTGATTGATATTATTTAATTATATTGAATAGTGAGGTTGAGTTAAAGTTGGGTTAAAAGAAGTGGTTGAGTTAATATGTTGAATTTTTTTAAAAAAAAAAATTCCATACACAAACATGCTCGTAGCATTTCCCGAATTTTTATAGGGAATAATTTGAAGCATACACGAGATATGGGGAAAATGTAATGAGTGTATTAATGAACAAGAGGCACGAATTTTAAAAATTATATTTGTAACATGAGATGTAAAATCAAACGAATTCGCTCACTAAAACTCGAGTTTGCACTGTTAAGTTTTCATGAACTTTTAGTACAATTTGGCTTGCCAACGAGTTGGACTCGAACTCATTTTATCGACTCGACTCGACTCGATAATAATAAGCTAGACCTCGAGCATCAAGAGGTTGAATTTGGTCTGAATCATTTACAACACTATTTGTAAATTTAAACAACTTTATTTACCTTTCGTTGGCCATTAATGATATAAACTGAAAGAAAAAGAAAAAAAAAAAAAAAA